CCCCGTGCCCACACCTCATGCCCACACCCCCCGTGCCCACACCCTGTGCCCACACGCCACCTCGCGCCCCCACCTGAAGGACAAGGCCCCCCCTGCTGAACATTCCCCCTGAACCCCGAGTGGAAAGAACCGGCTCCTGTCTGCGCAGGGAGTCGCGGCTTTGGAGGTGCTTCCCCTCCGTCTCCGTGTTGGCCGCAGGTAGTTTCCCGTGCGTGACAGCGGCCACTGTACGGTCTCCGCCTGTAACTCGCCAGCGAGCACCTGGTGTTAGTCCCCTTCCAAAGACACCGCTCCCCGAGCTCCGGCTTCACGCGGGAGGTACCGAGGGCAGGGTCTGGGCTCGGGCCCCCTGGACCCTGACCGTGAACCCAGCGTCCCCCGCTGCCTCCACCAGGCACTTCCTCCAGGAGGAGAGGCACCAGCAGACGCCGCCTACGGCAGGTCAGAGCGAGGGTGCCGGCTGCAAGGGCCTCGCAAACCAGGCTGTGGGAGGCGGACCCAGCGTGACCTCTCCCTCATCCGAAACATCACCCTTGGGTGGACATGCACCGTGCTAGTTACACTTGCAACGCATTAAGATGTGTGACCTTTACATGCATCAGGGCTAAAAAATCCCCACCTGTGTGTGTTCAGAAGACACCCCTTTCCCCACCTGAGTTTTTCTAATTTTTTAATTTTTATTTATTTTTGAGAGAGACAGAGTACAAACAGGGGAGGGGCAGAGAGAGAGGGAGACACAGACTCTGAAACAGGCTCCAGGCTCCGAGCTGTCAGCACAGAGCCCAACATGGGGCTCAAACCCACAAACCGTGAGGTCATGACCTGAGCCGAAGTCGGACGCTTAACCGACTGAGCCACCCAGGCACCACCACCTGAGGTTTTTTTTTAATGTTTACGTATTTTTTAGAGAGAGACAGAGAGACAGAAAGAGGAAGAGAAGAGACAGGGAGAGGAGACAGAGAGGGAGATAAAGGATCCCAAGCAGGCTCCAGTTTGGACTCCGGAATCGTGAGATCACAACCTGAGCCGAAATCCAGAGTCGGATGCTTAACCAGCGGAGCCACCCAGGCGCCCTGACACTAACGCTCACGTGTACTCTGAGCCGCAGGGAAAGGACCAAGAACCAGCCGCACACGTCACGTTCGAGAGTTCTCTTTAATGGGTCCGCGAGACGGGTGCAAACATCACACACAAGGGCGGTGTCTGTCCAGCGTCTGAAAACAGGCTCTGAAGACCCAACAGAAACGTGAACAAAGCTGGGTTTTCTCCTGCAAGTTAGATCATCCTAACCAAACCCTCATCCAAGCCTCGCCTGCCACGGGCACAGCGTCTCCTCGCACACGGAAGGGACCCCACCTCGCGGGCGGCGGGAGGGAGGGAGGGAACGGACGGGGGAGTCCCAGCTCCTCACCAGCGCCCCCCACCACCAGCAGGAGCACGTTAAATGTCCGCAGAGACGCTGCGTCCAGGGCCGCGCCTCAGCAGTGCCTCCAGGAGGGACTCTGGGTCCCCGCACGCTTCCCGCCCCGGACCCGGGAGGCGTGCGATCAGCTGGAGGGCGTGTTTCCGTGAAGCTGCCCTGGGAGCTGGTGGCCCGTCCAGACAGAGATCTCACGGGTGGAGGAGAGGGGTCTCACCCAGAGGTTTCACCAGGTGTACAGCGGGAACTCACGATTGTATCCGCAACGTCATATGAAACATTTCACTTTCTTAAGAAAGTGCTAGATGCCCTGCGAATAGACGTTTATTTCTCTGCAGTCATATGTAGTCAGAATGGGTTCTCCAATCTGATTCAGTCCCTGAGCAGCTAGATTAAAAATTAACTTTTTTAAAAGCCCGGTAAAAAACACCGACTGTATTAAAACTCTACCAGAATGTTCCAGTGGTAAGGGTATTTCTGTACAGAAACATAAAGCTTTCTGGAGGCTACTGACCCCTTCCTCCTGCTCAGAACACAACACACATTTCTGGCAAGTGTTCTGTACCTACGCAGGGCAGAGCGACTGCAGGGGAAGCTTCCCTCACCCCAGGGATCACTCCAGACAGAATCTGCGGAACAAATTCTGAGGAACATAATGACCCACTCCCAACTCTTTTACCAACGTGTTTCATGTTTTATTAAAAATACAATTTTTTTCTTTTACCAAGTCAGGCTGAGCGTCCCAGACCTCTATTAAGAAGTGAGAAAAATATACTAAAAAAAATTTTCTGAAAAACCCGTCAGAAAGTCAGTAACCGTAAAGAACGAGGTGGTCTGAGGAAGGAATTCAGTTAAAACGGGGCGTCTCGGACCCGTCGGATCCCATCTGGCCTGCATGTCAGTTTCTAACGGAAGTCGGTCCAGGTGCCCAGACGGGCCGCACCCTGACCCAACACGCGGCTGCCTGGGCTCGGCCGGTGCTCGGCCGGAAGAAGGGCTGTCTCGGTGGAGGCCAATGAAACACAGAAAAAGGGCAAAATCAGCTTCTTTTAGGGCAAGACGCTGTCTGGGGCAGGATGACTTGCTTTTCCTAATTAAGTGGCTAAGAGCCGCCTTAGGTGACTTTTCCCTTCTCAGGACACAGGGCGGGGGAGGGACTGTGGAGACCCTGCGAGTCCCTGTAACAACCGTGGAAACTGAGGCTGGAGGGGCGTCTGCACAGGCCGGAAGCAGTGAGGCCGGGCTATCCCCACGTCCCCAGGAAGGAGAAGGGGCCCAGACGACATGCGACGCAAGTGCAGAGTCCACATGGGGTGGGTGGGACGAGCCGGCCCCCTACACCCGGCCGCCGCCACAGTGATAGGCCAGGGGCAGCGCCAGAGAGGGGGCAGCCAGCCCTGGCGCCCGTGGGGTCACACGTGTCCAGCTCCAGAGAAAAGGGGCTTCGGGCCGCGATGGAGCCACCTACCACGAGGCCAGTTTCCCGCACCTACACCCGACATGATTCAGAAGCTACAAATCAGCCTTCACCCGGAAAGTCCGTCTCCCAAAAGTGCGGACGGGGTCTGTGCCACAGGGGCCCTGCGGACCCGCAAGCGCCTGGCTGTCCCCTGCACGGAGGCAAGAGTGACACCTACACCCGGGGACCCTGGGGCCCCGGGACGACGTTCAGGAGGGAGGGCAGGGGGACTCCCTCCTCAAGCTTCTATAGAAGTTGCAGACAGACGACAGGAAATCTGAGCTCGGCGAGCTGCTATGTACGGTCCCTTCCAGAAAGCCCCTCACTCACCAGGACTCAGGGGACTCTGGCCCCAAGTCCCACCACAGAGACAGCCGTGTGGCGGGCTGGGGGGGACCCGGGCTCGCTCCCTCCCTGCCCCAGACCCGACCCGACCCCGTCAGCTCTGCTCCTACCACTCAGCCCCCACCTGGCGGCGGCGGCGGAGTGAGGCTCACGGTCACCCAGAGCCACCGAGCAGGGACCGAACGCACGACGCCGAGGTCCCCACCACGTGAAGGTTGGTGCCCGTGTGCGCGGCTCGGCCTCGGGGGTCGGAACACACACGGTTCGAGCTCCTGGCAGTCAGGCCGCGACGCCCCAGCACCGTGGGTGCCCCAGGCCCCAGCGGGCTCAGTCCCGGGCAGCCCGGAGCTTCCTCCGGAAGTAGTCGGGGGCGGCCTCGTACAGCCACTCCGCGTCCACCACGCTCAGGCCCCGCATGTAGCACTTGCTGGTGCAGAGCAGCTCAGTGTACACGACGCAGGCCGGCCGGCAGTGCAGAAGGACGGATGAGGGGTGGACGGCCACTGGCTGGTGCGTGTCCGTGGTGGCGAAGGTGCCGTCAGGCTGCAGCTCGGCGCTGCTCATGAACAGACTGTGGGCCAGGCAGCGGCGGACGCTCTCCGTGTCCCCGCGGGAGGACGCCATCGGCATCGACATCTGTCTCAAGAGGAGGAGAGAGGAAAGACAGGCCCACGGTCAGGCTCGGATGCGAGTCGCAGCCCAGCCCGGGGAGCGCGAGCGTCAAGGCCCCGAGCTCTGCTGCCCGGGCCGCCGGGGGCGCGGAGGAGGGCGGCCACTGGAAGCACACGGGCCGCCAGGGCTCAGACGGGCTGGGGGACCCCGTCCGCTGTGATGGGGGGGCCTGGCCCTCTCACCCCCCGCACGTCAGCACCTCCTCACACAGCGGCCAGATTCGCCTCCCTTCCCTGGAGTGGAGCTCCGGCCCCACGTCCGGAGGTCGGCCTCCCAGTGCCAGTTCCGGAAGCCCCTCCCCCAGCCCCGGAGGGCAAGTGCGGGCCCCCGGGAGGTCACATCGCCTGACACCCCAGGCCGCAGCTGCCCCCACCCCGCCGGGCCGGCTCCGGTCTCCCAGGCATGGGGGGCATAGGCCCGCCCGCCCGCTCTCTGCTGCCCCCGTGGGCTGAGGCAGAAGACGGGAGGCGGGGGAACGGGCGTGCACACAGGGGCCAGCTGGGGACGAGGCGCCCCTGTCCACGTCTTCTGGTTCCTGCTTCCTTCCCGTCCCTCTGGCTCGACTATTCCACAGGCTCCCCCGGAGCCCTCCCGCTCCACGCCCACTGCTCCCTGTGCGATGGCTCCAGGGGTGCTGAGCCCCGCCTGATGGAGACCCTCTTTCTCTCCTCTGTTGGGACAGGGTCAGCTGTCACCACCTCCCAGGAGCCCCCGGGTCCTGCAGCTAACTGCGGTCTCTCCTCCGGGCGGCCAGCTCTGGCGCCCACAGGCTGGGATTCAGGCAAATGATCTAACTTCTTTAGGCTCCAGTTTATCATCTGTAAACCAGGAAGAACCCAGAACCTTATCAGAGCGAGAGGAGGACTTCAAACGAGGAAATGCGTGAACGGTGCTCAGAGGGGTGGCGCAACAAGCGCTTCGTGATCAGTAGTCACTGCGTTACTTCTGGCGCCTGCACGAGCGATCTGTGTGCCTTATTCCAGATCTGCCTTCTGGACTGTTCCCTGAGAGAAGGGGTCTGAGGCACACCCGCAAAACTCCAGGCCCCCGACCAACGCCCGCTGCAGAGCCAGCCCCGGCCGCTAAAGCTCCCTGAGGTCAGGGCAAAGAGCGGGCATCACTTCCGCTGCTGGTGAGACACGGAGCGACGGCACTGGCCGCGGAACGACCACTCGGGTACAGGAGGGCTTGGAAACCACGTGCCCCACGGAACACAGCAGCCACGACAGCAAATCACCCAGGTGCTAACGATGGGTGCCAGCACCAGACGCAGGCCTGGGGACGGGACGGCGGCCTCGTGGGAACACACGGACGGCCCGTCTCGGAAGAGGCAGCGACTTTCATCGCGGAGCTGGTCGTGACTGCTCAACCGCGGGGGCGGCCCACGTAAACCACCCGCCTCTGCGGGAAAGCGCGGAGTGTCCTCCAGCCGCCAAGTGTGCGCGTGACAGGCTGGGCGAACCTCACGGGCGCTGAGGGGACACATCACCAGCACCGCGTGCCTAAGACAAACGGCAGGCGGGTGCCAACCACGCTTAAAAAAGCCCGTGGGGTAGGGGCGCCTGGGTGGCTTAGTCGGTTAAGTGTCGGACTTTCGCTCAGGTCATGATCTCGCGGTTAGTGGGTTCGAGCCCCGCGTCGGGCTCTGTGCTGACTGCCAGCTCAGAGCCTGGAGCCTATTTCAGTCTGTGACTCCCTCTCTCTCTGACCCTCCCCTGCTCACTCTGTCTCTCTCTCTCTCCTAGAAATAAATAAAACATTAAAAAAAAAAAAAAAAACCCGTGGGGGGCAGTCTGGCAGGCGCATCACAGCCTAGAAGCTCATTCGTGTGCAGGAGTGTGGGTACACGCGTGTCTGGGCGGCGGTCACCGGCATGACCTCGGGGAGGGTTGCTACGACGCAGGGCGGCTGCGGGCGGCTGCGAGGTCACCAGAAAGGGCTACGAGACAGACGTCCGCGAAAGACGCCCAGACACACGTGGGGCAAGTACACCCTGCGGGAGAAGTTGCAAAACAAAATATGTATCCTATTTCTTTAAAAAAACAACAAACCCGTACGTGTGTGTATGTATGCGTGCACACATAGTGAGAAACGAATACACAAAAACACACGTGTGCAGAGCAGACTGGAAGGATCTGCACCACACAGTGGTCTGTCCTTGGACGGGCGGATGCGGGAGAAGTCGGTTCCACTTTACAAGCCCGTTTTCTGCGCTGTATTAACTTGTAACGATCCCGCGACCTGGACACAGCAACTAAAGTTCAGCTAAGAATCTGAACAAAGTAACAAAGACGGTGCCACTAAAAAAATACAGCTCAATATTGAAAACTAATTTTCAAGTCACCGCCTGGGTGGTGACTCAGCCTGTTAAGCGTCAGACTCTTGGTTTTGGCTCAGATTGTGATCTCACGGTTCGTGGGTTCGAGCCCCGCAGACAGCGCAGGGCCTGCCTGGGGCTCTCTCTCCCTGCCCGTCCCCTTCAAAACTAATAAACATAGAAACAAAACAAAACAAACCACAAGGCTGCTGGAAACGGATGAAAACGGTGAGACGTGGAATTGTGGGTAATATTTACTTTCTTCCTTATGTTTGAGTTCCCTGCAGGGAGGGTCTGTCTCGTAACCACGGGCAATAAGCGACTTAAAACTTGTCACCTAGAAACAAGGGCCAGGTTAGCGCCCCGGGGACGCGGGAGGAACGGTACCTTCAGGCAGATGTCCCTCAGCTGTGCTCGGACTTCGCCTACCAGCATCATGTTCTTGGCGTTGACAAAATTCTCCTTGCACCAGTCCTGAGCCAGGGAGAGAGACACGTCAGAATCCCTTCTCGAGGGAAACACACCACAGGGCCTGGGGAACATGATTCCCAGGGAGGGTCTCAGTCAACACAACTCCGCGTAGGAAATAATTTTGTGTCAAAAAGCATGAACCTTAGAGGAAACCTTAAGGGAAAGTACTTCAGAGCTAAACTAAAAACGTCCTCAGTGGGGGCGCCTGGCTGCCTCAGTGGGTGAAGAGTGGGACTCTCCATCTTGGGGTCATGAACTTGAGCCCCATTTGAGCCCCACGTTGGGTGTAAAGACGACTTAAATAAACAAAACTTAAAAAAATTTTTCCTTATGTCAAGTCACCACGAAAAAAGCCAGACCGGGATATCTGAATCACTGTAACGAGTAAAGGATTAGTCATCTCCGGAATGGATAAAACTCCTACGTATCGATGAGACAATGACCAACAGCTTGGCAGAAAAACGGGCAGAGGGTGTGAACAGACGACCCGCGGAAGACCAGGTTCAAATGTCCAATCATCTTCTGCAAGGTCACTGTCCCCTGAGGAATCAGGGCAAGTAACTCAGACGCGATTTCGTCACCATCGGCTCAGTCAGGAGGGAGGCGGGGGCTCCTGTCCACGGCCGCGGGCGGCGAGCAGGGAGGCCCAGGCCCGGGGAGGCGCGGGGCTCGCGGGCGGAACGGGCGCTCCGAAGTGAAAGCGCACGGTGGTCACGGTTGTGCCCGGAACACGGGCCGAGGCCGTGGCAGGGGTTACAAGAAGGAAGGTTACATTTCCCGTCTTTAAACATAAACTGACGCAAATAGAGCAACATGTTTACACTCTGTGGCCTGAGTGGTGGCTGCTCTTTCAGACCCGACTGCGTCCCAACGTGGCGGAGTCGGGGCGCGCGCACGGGCGTCGGGACGCAGACGGGTCGGAGTGCGCGTGCACACGTCTCCCCGATAACGAAGACGGTGCCCGAGCATCTGTGAAAGCGCGCGTCACGCCGCCTCGCTTGCGGCCAAGGCTCACGTTAGCACTCGGTTCCGCCAACGAAGGGAACACAACAGGATTTGCGCTTCTTTTGGAAAAGGTTGAAAAACAAAACAGTGCGCGCGTTTGCTCTGCGAAGCCGCAGAGCTGCACAGGCACCCGTGTCCGCACCACCCAGCTCCCCACCCTGGAACCGCCCAGGGACTCGGCGTCCATTAGCAACAGGTGACCTAACAGAAAAGCCCCAGACAGGCTATTTTTGGGGCCTGGGGACCCAGAAGTTTTTTCTATCCTGTCGGAGGAACCGAAAATACCATATGAGCAGAAACCACTATGAAGAAGGCCACGGGCAGGTGGGGAGCACACTTGTAGCCAAGAGGCCACCAAACCGTCGGAGCACAAGTTAACGCGAGCAGGGCGGACGCCGCACCTGCGCGTCGGCGCTGGTGACCCGCGTGCATGCGCATCGGCACCGGCACCGTCCCTGCGGCTCCTGGGAGATCCCACCAGACAGGAAGGCGGCGGGCTCGCGTCTCAAGGCCGGATGGAGGCGCTTCGGGGGAAGGCAGGACGCAGACTGACCTTGTTTGCGCTGGCGTTTCTGAAGGCCCGGTACACGTTGAGCAGCGTGACGTGGTCGCCCTCACTGGACACGAACTTCCTGCGGACGGCCTGCACCTCATCCCGCCGGGCGGGCGGGTTGTACAGAACGCTGTCCACGGACAGCAGGGACACGATGGTCAGCATCTCCTCCGTGCAGTGGAACTTGGGGGACAGGAGGATGGCCTGCACGCCGAAACCAGAGACGGTGTGGGCGCGGATTCCCCGCCTCCGAGCGGCGTCTGCACACACGCTCGCGCACTTCCCTTCTGAGCCCAAACCACACGTAGGTATGTTCGGGTCACTGCACATCTTTGTGGAGCCTGTGGCTGCCCTCCCGTGGACTCCCGCGGATTCAGGGGGCCCGTGCTTACGTGGCCGTGAATGGCACACAGAAGGGAAGTCCGTGCGGCACACAAAGTCGGCGTGCAGGTTGAGGCGGGGGCCCCGGGGTTAGCCCTGTGCTGTGTGACGGCCAGAGGGCGGCCTAGCGGAGGGGGCCCAAGGCCGGGGGACGACTTACTTTGGCAAACCGGGGCTCTAAGGGGAAAGCTGCCATCTTCCTTCCAAGCGGGGTCAGGGTGAGCTGGCCGTCCCTCCGCTCCAGGGCGCCCAGCAGCTCCAGCTGCCCCACGGCCGCCTGGACGTGCTCTGCGGGAACACACGTGGGAGGAAGATGCTGCAGGCTGTGACGGATGGCCGCCGCCACTGTCACCAGGGCTGGGCCGCCAGCGACATCACTGTCTTCAGGTCCATTCCCTTCTAAACCGATGGCCCGTGACTTGGTAAGATGTGTCTCACCTTTAAACCCAGCTACGTCACTCGCACGAATCCCGCCCAGAGATACCCTCGTACGTGGGACAGAGGCCCGTCTCTCCAGAAGTGAGACACCCAGGAGCACGTGGGGGCCGTCAGCTGAGCGTCCGCCTTTGGCTCCAGTCATGATCGTAAGCTCGAGCCCCTGACAGCTCAGAGCCTGGAGCTGCTTTGGATTCTGTCTCCCCCCCTCTCTCTCTGCCCTTGCCCTGCTCATGGCTCTGTCTCTCTCTCAAAAATAAACGTTGAAAAAAAAAAAAACCAGCAAGAAGGGGAGAAAAGACAAGGAAAATGGCTCTTGAAGAGGAGTCGGGAGCCAAGGCCACCGTCCCTAAGAGCCCCAAACCTCCCCTCCCCCCAAGAGACCGCCCGGAGGCCAGGAACCCATCAGAGTCTAGTCCAGAGCCAACAACCTGGGTCTTCCCGGGCCTTCCACTGGCAGGACAGCCTCGGCAGCCGCTGCAGCCTCCAGACCTCCGCCCCCCGCGGCCCCCCCAGGACAGCTCCTGGAGAATGTGTGCCCTCCGGCGCCCCTCCGCCAGCTGGTGCCCTTGAGCACAAACAAAAGGAAACAGAGACCCCCAGACATTTCTGGGCAAGTCCACGCGTCTGCTGTTTGGCCGTGCTGGGGACACGTACCTGGGGAGGGCTTGGACATGAAGTCAAAGGTGAGCACGTTGGGGACTTTCATTGCCAGGAGCTGCAGCATCACGCTGGCCAGGTTACACCTGTGAGGAGGGAGATGCGGTAGCACCCGGCTCGGGCCGCCACCACCAGCCGGAGACGCGGGAGCGCGGCGGCCTACCTCTGGATCTCCGGCACCGTCATCTTGTCAAACTTCTCGAACTCGGCCTCCGTGTAGAGCCGGTAACAGATGCCACTGTCCTCCCTGCCGGCCCGGCCCGTGCGCTGCCAGGCCTGGGTCTTTGAGACGCGCTGCACGGCCAGCACCTCCAGGCCGCTGTCTGCGGGAGAGCCTGCGTCAGCTGCGCACTCGGCGCTCTGACCAGCTGTGTCGGCAGCGCTCCCGACGCCGGGCCCCTCCCTGCCACGAGGGGGTCCAGGAAACCCCAGGCCGCGCTGGAGAGCACGACCGCACACTACTCCGCGGTGAGCGCACGAGGCCTGTCACTGGGACGGCAGACGGCCCGCAGCCCCAGGTCCCGGCTGAGGCCACAGGGGGACGGCCACACCAGTGTGCCCAGGACGGAGCCTTTCCTGGGTCCCGGGAAATAAGGGTGGCCGGTCACCCTCCCCTCCTGATCAATGCCTGGGGACCAGGTGTCCCCGATCCTCCGTGCGGTGCACCCCCCACCCCAGCTCTGCTCTTAGAGGGAGACAACGTGTGGTATCACTCCCAGGAGCGGATGTGACGCATGTCCCGATTAAGGTGTGCTCTGTGCCACGCACCAGGCCACGAGTCCTTCCACACGCTACCCCTGAGAACACATGGGTGAAAGTCTGCGCCCTCGGACGCTTGGCGGTGCATTTCAACCAGGCTTTGGGAGCAATCACTCCCGTTGCCTTTAATCTTCTGTGGACTGAAGCGGGATCAAGAGCAAGGTCGAGAGCAGACTGCACATGGACTTGAAGCCGGCCTGTACCGCACACGCTCAGGGAACAGCTAGTGTCTCAACCCGGCCCAGGGGGCTTCCTTCCTGGGAGCCTGGAGCCCAGACATCACTCCCGACGAAGGTCCCGCTGAGGCGTCGGTGGCCCCTGCTCTCAGGCTGGCGGAGCCTGGACCCCCGTCCTGCCCTGCCTTCTCTCAGCCTGGCTTACTGGTGCTGTGCATCCCCCAGCCCGGCCAATCGCGGCGAGTCTCGGCAGGAAGCGCTCACTGGGGGAAGTTGGGGGGCTCGTGCACCGGGAAGGGGCACTCGCGGGCTGGCTTCTCACCAGGGTTATACTTCTTCGCTTTAACCATGCCTGTGTCGACTACGTATTTTATTCCCGGGATGGTTATGGAGGTTTCGGCGATGTTGGTGGAAATGATCACTTTGCGACAGCCCTGAAAGGAGGAAAAAACCAGAAGAGCCGTGTGACACACATGGATTCACAAGTTTTAGAACACAGTCCTCGCCACCAACCTCCACAGTCCACTCAGGCCCAAGAGCCAACAGTGTCGTTATTAACAAGTAACCACTACAGACGGCGGTGGGGGGTTCCCGTGTTAAAAGCTTATTCTGAGGGGACAGATACAGTGGACCAAGTGGTGTGGGCTGGACCCCTGGCCCCTGCGGGGACTTCCCACGCGCTCCCTGAGCACCGTCACTTCGCCTCTCGGGGCCGCCGTGTTTACAGGATGGGATCACCACCTACCTTTCCAGTTCTCCAGCGGGTGAGGCAGTGTGTGCAAGGGGTGTGGGGGTGCACGCGAGGGGTGCACAGTGAGTACGTGGGGTGCGTGCGGGGTGTGCACATTGAGTACGTGGGGTGTGTGTGGGGTGTGTGTGGGATGCACACAGGGTGTGCACATTGAGTACGTGGGGTGTGTGTGGGGTGTGTGTGGGATGCACACAGGGTGTGCACATTGAGTACGTGGGGTGTGTGTGGGATGCACACAGGGTGTGCACATTGAGTACGTGGGGTGTGTGTGGGGTGTGTGTGGGATGCACACAGGGTGTGCACATTGAGTACGTGGGGTGTGTGTGGGATGCACACAGGGTGTGCACATTGAGTACGTGGGGTGTGTGGGGTGTGTGTGGGGTGCACACGGGGTGTGCACGTTGAGTACATGGGGTGGGTGCGGGGTGTGCGCGGGGTGCACACATGGAGTACGTGGGGTGGGTGCGGCGTGGGTGTGGGGTGCACACGGTGCATGTGGGGCGTGCACAAGTGTACGCAGGGTGTACGTGGGGTGCACATACAGCATCGGGCTTGGGGGAGCCACTCGTCCACCCTCTGTCCCTGCCCACACCCCAGCGCGGAGCCCCGCCCGGCCCGGGACAGGGGCGCACTCGCCTTCGGGGCCCCCTGGAAGACGCGGAGCTGCTGGGCGTGGGGCAGGGAGGCGTACAGGGGCAGCACGAGCATGGAGGGGCAGCCGTCCGGGACGTGCCTGGCGATGTCCCGGCAGGTCTTGCTCATGGCCTCGATCTCCTCCTGGCCGGTGAGGAACACCAGGATGTCCTGGGCGGGCGGGGCCTCCTGCGGGAGGGAGGCAGGGTCACCAGGAGCCGGGGCGCGGCCCCCGCGGAACAGAGCAGGGGTCGCGAGGAGCTTCCCCGGGCTGCTTTGCTAACATGGACAAGGTGTAAACGAGCCTAGCGTGGGGTCCCCCCCGGGAGCGGCCTCGGCAGTGACGCAGGAGGCTGGGACCCGGGGGAGTGTCAGAGGCGGCGCAGCCACGACTGAAGGAAGGGCAGCACGATGCCCTGAAGGGCACGACCCGGCAGAGAAACCCGCGGAGCGCTCCCTTCCTTCCCTAATCATCTGGAGACACGAAGCCGACCAGACAGAAGCCGGCTTGGGGAAACCGAGGCCGTGGCAACAGCCGAAAGCAGTCGCGCCGGAAGGGGAGCTCTCATTAAACGATGGCGCCAAAAGTATGGCCACATGGCCAAAAAATGCTGCTCGCGGGCGAGCGCCCGAGACCCTGAACCTGACGGGCTGTTCACCTCTGCGAGGCCAGGACCATCTAGGCGTGCATGACACATTCCTGCACGTGACCCTTCCTAGAAGTGCTCAGGTCTAGCCCTTAATTAGCAAGACGCCTGAGTGACAAGACACCCAAAAACCATGTTTAACCGTAATAAATACACGCGTGTGTCTACGTGTAAACGCACGTGTACGTTTATGTGCGTGTACACACGCGCCTTTTACAGCCTGGTATTAACGGGACAAAGGCTCACGAGTGCACACAACGCGACAAACCTCGGACAGTCAGCACCTCACCTTGGGCCTCATCAAAGCCCCCACGTGGCCTGCACACACCTGCAGCCACCACCCAGGACCCGTCCTCACCCCGGGTTCGCTTTCGGTAGGTGAACACCTTCCTTGATGTAAAGGACGGTGGGGCGTAAGCCCAGGGCGACAAAGGCAGCAGAAGAGAAAAGGGATCAGAGGTTCAACCCATTCTGAAAGACGCAGGAGACGGGGGCGTGAGTGGCAAGCAGGGCAGAGGGCGCTCCAGCCTGGGGGGGGGGTCTGAGGGTGTACGGCAACTACCAGTGGGCCCATCCCCAGAGAAGACAGAAAGGCCCAGGGCCCGGCAGTGGGGCAGAGGGGGGCCGGGCGAGGGGAAACCGAGGACGGCGAGGCCCACCCCGGTGCCCACCTCACCCTACGGGGCAGGCTGGCACGCGATTCCGCCTGGAAGCATGGCCGCGGGAGGAGTCCAGATGGCTGCCAGGAGGCCCAGGACAAGGCACCCGGGCACGAGGCAGCACGCGGCGCGCCGGGCAAGGCGGGTCCACTCCAGCACGCAGACACGGCTGACGGCGGGCAGACGGGAGACGCTGGCCACGTGGCAGGAAACGGGCCACAGGCACACAGCGAACTTGTACAAGGAACGAGGCGCGGGGACGGGCCGTGCTGGCCACGTGGGGTCCTGAGACACGAGTGTGTTGAGCGGCTGGAGGAGGGTATGTCTGGATCCTCACCCGCCGCGGCAGGAAGCTAACGGCAGCAGTGTGAGCAGGTGACACTGGAAACACTGCCGTGAATCCGAAGGAAGCAGCCAGGGGACCCAACGTCACCCCACAGAACGGGATCCGGGACACGGCAGAGAAAGAGCTGCCGAGTTTATGATCCTTTTACAAATAGCTCCTGCTTTTTTAAACTTTAAACTACCTACTCATTGCTTAGATTTAAATGAAAATTATTTTTTAAAAATCTGCCATGGAGTTTTTCAGAAAGAGTTTTATAAAGTAAGCAAAAATGAGGGCATTGGGGGCGTCCGGGGGCTCAGTCGGTTGGGCGGACGACTTCAGCTCAGGTCATGATCTTACGGTTTGTGGGTTCGCGCCCCACGTCGGGCTCCGTGCTGACAACTCAGAGCCTGGAGCCTGCTTGGGATTCTGTGTCTCCCTCTCTCTCTGCCCCTCCCCTGCTCACACTCGGTCTCTCAGAAAAAAATAAACATTAAAAAAAAAGGGGGACTGAATCACTCAAACTTCTGAGTAAATATTTAATAAAATGAAAAGAAGTTTTGAAATGTTTCTCTAAATCAGTTTTTCTTAAAAAAAAAAAAAAAAAAAAGCCAAAAACTCTAAATGGCAATCCATTTTGGGGTCCATACCAACTTTTTTTTAACAACGATGTGGCCAACAGCAGAAGATGCAGCGGCTCACAGACTTCCTTCCGCCACCCGTCCACATGGCCTGTGGTTGGCTGCAGCCCCACGCCAGCTTCTTGCTGGGACTTTCGATGCAACCATCTGCCCTAACGTGAGCGAGTGTCCTGGCTCAGCTGAGGCGTGATGCCAGGCAGAGCTGAATTATTTTTCTTAGAAAAAACAAGAGATTCCATAAAAAGGAATAAAGGGCTGGACACGCCCCCTCATCTCAAGGGCGCAGCTCACAGGCCGCGCGTCATTAGCTTCTCCCGGCCATGCTGAAGGGCAAGGGGAGCCGGGCCTCCGCGGGGCCCGCGGCCGCCGTACCTGGTGGATCTGGAAGACGGAGACCAGGGCGGCGTGCAGGTAGTCGTGCTGAGGCTGCCGGGTGTAAAACACCTGGATGGGATGCTGCCGACCCTCCAGGTAGAGCACGGGCGCCCCGCTGAAATACTGAGAGAACAGGTCCACGTCCATCGTGGCGGACATCACGATCACCTGCGTCGGGGACAGGAGAGGACCACGGGGAAGCCACGCCGGGCCAGTCTTCCTGTGCCCTCCTCGTGACGGCGATTCCTCCCCATGGTCGGACGCGGAGCCGGCCCCTCCAGCGAGCACGCCACACCTACTTTGAGAGGCAGCCTCCCCAGCTCCTTCCTCCGCTTCTGCGCCGCCTTCACGACCCCGAAGAGCACGTCCGTGTGGATGGTCCGTTCGTGGGCTTCGTCCAAAATGACACAGCTGTACTTCCGGAGCAGCGAGTCCGAAATCGCTTCCCGCAGAAGCATGCCATCTGTCAGAAACTTGATCCTGGTGTCCTCGGAGCTGACATCGTCAAAGCGCACGGTGTAGCCAACCTGCGTGGGCGACGGTTCAACCATCACTCGGTGAGCACCCACGTGACCGGCACCGAGCAGGGGTGAGGCCAGCACCGACCCTGCCCTGCTTCCTCAGGTCAGACAGACCCAGGACGGGGCACGGACAGAGGACAGGTACCTTCAGCTGCGATTAGGATATGCATTACAAAGGACCGGAACTAGGCTCCTTCCCCAGCTACTTAGTAATCTCAAGTGACGCTTCACACAGCTGGGAGAAGACCAGAGGTTCTCCAGTGCGTGTGTGAACAGGCCCACACCAGAGCGGACTCACACTCGGTTCCGGGGCTCCCCTCTCAACACCCACACACATGCTGACAAGGCGCTCGCCACCTCTTAGATACACAGACAAGACATTTAATGGAGGCTACTGGAGCCTGAAGGATGCTCAAGGGAAACAGCTGATGTACCCGACTTGCCAAAAGATTCTCAAAGCAGAGTACATGGCACGGACAGCCTGTCGGCCCCACGACATGTGAGGCCGGTGAGAGACTCGGAGACGGGGCTAAGTGACTGGCAAGAGTGGGCCTCCCTGCACAGGAGTCTTGCTCGGGAAGCACAAGGGGGAGCGGGCGGCTGTCGTTAAAGAAGGAGGTGAGGTACCAGCTTCCCGAGTTCAGTTCTCTTCTCATCCGAGACCCGAGAGGCAAGCGAAATGGCAGCCACCCGACGAGGCTGGGTCACCGCAATGACACCTTGGCGGCCGATCCCCCCCTCGTAGAGGTACTGAGGGAGCTGAGTCGTCTTCCCAGAGCCGGTCTCCCCTGAGAAAGGAAACGAGTCTCGTTTACATGCAAATTAAAACAAATTTCACCAAAGTCAGGAGGAAAAGACAGAATACTGGAAGTTGACAGAGCTGATAAAGCCACAGGGAATCAGCACTCGCGTGAACTGGTGGCCGAGTGTTAACTGGAACCCCTTCTCAGGAGGCCAAATTATGTTGGAAACACCTTTAAAATGTGTACACCCCAGACCCACAATTCCACTTGCGGAAACTAATTCTGAGGAAATAACTGCAGATGTGTGTAAGGGCGCAGCTTCAGAGATTGTCTCATTCCACTTTGCTCGTGACAGCAAACAACTGGAAACATGTACGTTCAACGATCGGTAAATAATGGAAACACAACTATTACATAAAAAAGAATAAATGAAGGGCGCCTGGGTGGCTCCTTTGGTTTAGCATCCGACTTCAGCTCAGGTCATGATCTCACGGTTCGTGGTTCAAGCTCTGCGTCGGGCTCTGTGCTGACAGCTCGGAGCCTGGAGCCTATTTCAGATTCTGTGTCTCCCTCTTTCTCTGACCCTCCCCTGATTGCACTGTCTCTTCTTTCTCTCTCTCAGAAATAAACGTTAAAAAAACAAAAAATTTATAGAAAGGGACCCCCAGAAAGAAGCCACACACACTCCCACACGGCAGCCACTGCCCTTCCCTGCAGAGCCCCGACGTGGCCCTCACTATTCGGGAACACCTGCTGTGGCCACGTCTGCCTGGCAAACTCCACAGGGTGAGTCAGACCCGCAAACCCCCGGGGACTCCCCCAGGGGCCTCCTCCGCACAGCGTCCCTGGTGCCTTGTGCGTCCCTTCCAGCACTGACCACCTCACGCTGTGCCAAGTGTCTACAAGCCTCTGTCCTCCGATACCAGAAACTCCCAGCGGGCAGAGAGGGCCCACCTGCCCCCTCCCCCGGTTTGAGCGTCCTGCATGCAGTTAGCACATGTTATTTCCTTCCGCGTGGGTTCCTTTGTCCCCAAGTAGAACTAAGAACGCAGTACACCTGAGCGTCCTTCCCTCCCCGGCCACCGCTTCCCCCGCCTTAGACCCCTAAACCCCACTCTCCTCACAGACTAAGAATTTGGGGTTTCTGCTACACTCCTGCTGAACCCACCAGGCAAAACCCCAGACGTGGGTCACCGTCTCCCTGTCCATCTTTCCTGCTCCCACACCAGGTGGCTGAGCACTGCTACGGGAACATCACCCATCCGTGCAGACGGAGACATCTGTGAGCTGGCGGTGGGGCGAACGCACCTGGACCCCAGCACGACCATGGATCCCTGCTCGGTCCCCGTCCTCCCCCGGGGCCTGCCTCACGCCTGGGCTCCCAAGCTCAGCAGAGCCCCTGCACCTTTTCGGAGAGAGAGGCCAAATCCCCTCCCCTACAAGCTCTTCCCCGGCCACAGCCGTTCTCACATCCTCCCTGCGGCCCCAGCCTGCTGGGTACCCTCCCCCATCCCAGGCCAGCTCGACATCTCAACCGTTTCCAGGTGCCCCCCCCCACCGTGCACCCCAGTCTCTGCTCTATTAGTGCCCACTTTCCACCCTCAGCTTCCCTCTCCGTGAGCGCTTCCTCTTCCTCTCGATCCCTCAGCTCCCCTCCCTTCCTCCAACAGGAGCCTGTCACTCCTACTGCCTTCCCTCCCTCACCCCCGCTCAGCCCAGTGACAAATGAGCTCGTACCCGCCACCGCTCTGCTGGAGGACCGCTGGAGGAGACCTGCGTGCTTGATCCCTGTGTTATGGGCTCTCGCTGGGCACCCGTTCTTGGGACTACGCTCCCCAGGGTCTTCTTCCTCCCTTTGGAACTCATCCTCTCCGTGCTTCCCGACTCTCCCCTGCAGGCAGCTCCCACGCGGCGGGCTCCCCCGCACCTCCGCGCCGAAGCCCCCCCTCGGGGCCGCCGCCCACACCGGCTCGACCCACATCTTGCAAGCCCCACAGCTCTCCGCCGGACAGGTCGGCGCCTCCAGAGCGGGGCTTCCCCTCCGAGCCGCTCCGGGGCTGGCTCGGAGACCCCCGCCAGGGGCACCTCGGGCGGACGGAAAACAAGGCGCAACCACTCACTCACCGATGAGGACGGCGCTGTCCAGGTTTCGGAGCTGGGCCAGCAGCTGCCCCCGCGCCGGGAAGATGGGCAGGCCCCGGCGCTGGCGCTCCACCGCCTCGGGGTAGGGGCTGGCCGCGGGCTGGGCCAGGGCCGGCTGCTGCCTCCGGCCGCCCCCGCCGCCGCCCGCGGTCAGCAGCATCACCACGCGCCCCCCGGGGGGCCCGCAGCCCGGCCGGAACCTCTTGGCCGGCGGGAAGCCCGCCTCCTCCGGCATGTCGGGCGCACGGCGGGACTGGAGGCCGGGGCCCGGCAGCCGCCGGCCAGCGCGCGCCGCCCCTTCCTGCCGCGGCTGCCGGCGACCGCTGATGACCTCACGGCCGCCGCCGGCCTTCCGGGCAGGCCCGCGCCTCCCAGCATGCACTGGGGGCCTGGGACGGCGTGCACGGGACGGCGGGAAGAGCCGGGCCCCTGGTACGACCGCGAAAACGGCCCGGGGCTACAACAGCGAGGGGCGGCGCGCAAGGTTCCGCGCGACCTCCTCCCGAATAATGACGACGATCTAATTGAGTGGCCGGATGAGACTGTGTCCTTGCAGTGAACGCGTTTCCCGTTCTCCGCCCGCAGCAGTCCCCGCTCCGTCTACTTGTGTAAAATCCGCGAGCAGCACGCAAACATTTGCACGATTTAGCCCTCTCCACGTGTTACGTGCTGGACGCGGACGGTGGCCCCGGGCAGAAGCCGAGCCTCTGAAATTCCTTAAAGCCGCCCAGAAGTTGCCACATCTGAACGCTGGGGGCCACCTCGCGTTACAGAAGACGAGGGCGTTACAGCACACGCTCTATGTCCCAGTGGCCCGTCCCCTGCCGTCCCTGCCGACTCTCAAGGTCTCTGGGGACTGCCCGGCCCCATCCCCCACACGCCAATCAAGGCGGGGGCGGGGGGGAAGGGGATACAACCAGCCCCTCCTTTACACCCTAACCCCAAAACTCTAGGATGCTAACCCGCCTCCAGAAAGAGGCAGGCAGCTGAGGGCGGGGAGTGGGATTTCCGGGGAATTCATCCTAAAGCTTCCACCCGCCTCTGTGAGGGGCTTCGGGCATCTTCTCTCAAGTCCAGCTCCAGGAAACTTGTCCTATCTGTAAACTTGTGAAAAATCCTTCCTCCAGCTGCTCACAGTGCAGGGATCAAGGGTGAGTGGAAACGTGCATGCTGAATTAGCAGGTGCCTGTTTAGAATAAATTGGCAGAATTTCACTTCCTACCCCTGAATATGAACTTAGAATGGCAATCCACAAATAAAAGGGAAATACTTTGTTCAGGCTGCTGTAACCAAAATAGCACAGACTGAGGGACTTGTAAAGGTCAGATCGTTTACTGCTCACGGTTCCGAAGGGTTGGAAAGAACCCTCGTAGGTGCCTTCCGGTGAGGGGCCTCCTCCTGGGCCTTTGCTGTGTCCTCACGTCGTGGGAGCAACTAGGGGTCTCTCTAGAGCTGTTGGTAAGGTGTTAATCTCATCATGAGGGCCCCTTCCTTACAACTTAATCACCTCCCAAGGGCCCCACCTCCTAATACCGTCACAGTGAGCGTCATCACAGCAGGTCAACATCAGAATTTGTGTGTGGGGCGTGGGGGGGACACAAACATTCACATCATAGCAATAACTAAACGTTAACTCTCAAATTATGGACCCTGAGTATGTAACAGACGGACATCAGTCCTTTTCCCCAGGAAATCCTAATGGAGACATGTTCCTAATGATTACAAGAATCTGGGCACGGGGGCGCCTGGGTGGCTCAGTCGGTTGAGCATCAGAATCTTGGTTTTGGCTCAGGCCCCACATTGGGCTCCAGGCTCTGTGGTGACAGCTCAGGGCCTGCTTGAGATTCTCTCTCTCTCTCAAAATAAAGTTAAAAATAAAAGTCAGGGTGCCTGCTTGGCTCAATTGCTTAAGTGTCTGACTCTTGGTCTCAGCTCAGGTCATGATCTCACAGTTGATGAGTTTGAGCCCTGCATCAGGCTCTGTGCTGATGGTGTGGAGCCTGCTTGGAATTCTGTGTCTCTCTCTTTCTCTGTCCCTCCCCTGCTTGGCCTCTCTCTCTCTCTCTCTCTCTCAAATAAATAAATATTTAAGAAAAGAGAGAGTAAGAGAGTCCGGGCAGGTGGTATGAATGAAGTAATTTCGTGGAGCACATGCCCGGTGTGGAGAAGCAGCCAGTAGCCAGTCACCCTCAGGCAGCAGCTGCCATGCACACCCGGCATTGTCTGCTCTCCCCGTGTTTTTCAAGAAAAGCCCAAAATGAAGATTTTCATGTGAAATCTGCCCATTGTAAATGTTGGCTCAAGTCTTCAAGCCGCTACAGGCAGAGTAAACCACGTGTGGAGATAACGCAGTCACAGGCTCCAGCCTAGTGGCCCGGCTGCTCTGCAGCCTCACAGCTGAGAGCAGAAGCAGAAGATCCTCCGTAGGCACCACCCACAGAGTCCCCCCACCCCCGGACGCACACCCCCCACCTCCATCAGAGTCTGAGATCTGCTGTCCTTCCCAAGGACAGCTCTTGGGGTTAAGTGACTTGCATATGCAGATGATCACAAGATAATAACCATTCAGAGAATGTCCGGACTCTTCCCTCAAGAGGTGAATCATGAGACGCATTTCATCTTTTAACTCCTCTGGGATGATCTGTGGACTGGCTGTTCTTGCCGCAGCCATACCAGCTAGCGGTCAGCGTTGCCAGCCGGCTCGCCCGACCACTAGACCGCTGCCCTGAATCATGGCCAGTTCCGCTCCATCCTGCTTTCAGACGACCCTGAGCCTCAGCCACTAGGTCTAAGTTTGCACACCCGTTCGCTGATCCCTCTGTAACTAAAAATACCAGGTAATAGTTTGCTGATAAGAAATAGCATTTGTTCAGCACCCACGGGCCAAGCCCTGTACTAGACACTGGCGGATATGAAACGTTAAGACCTGGACCCTGCCCTTAAGTAGCTTGTGTTCTCACGAGGGAAACGAGACACCAGCTAGAACAGTACAAGATGGTGTATAAGTTGGCGTAAGAGCACGTCACACAGACATGAAGCTTTGTAGGGATTCAAAGAAAGACCACGGAGTCGGCCTCAGGGTCAAGATTCCTTGAGAAGCCAGCAACGGGGCCAGGCCTTGAAGAGCCTTAGGTCCCGATGGGTAGAAACGGGGACAAGGTTCAGAGGGAGACAAACACTGTGCCTTTGATACGGGCGCTACGAAGTCACCGTGGATTTCTGAGCAGAGAAGGAGCTTATGCATATTAAGGTTCAACAACTCTGATGAAAACTCATAAAATGCGCCAGTAGCTCGGGGAATTGTCCCACAGCACTGAGACCCCTGGCGGGATCCTGCCCAGTGACGCGGGTGGCACTCACCCGTCAGAAGCAGGCTGTCAGGGAGACATGACAATTCCAGGGAGCCCCTTACCACACAGCTCAGTTATTTCTTCATTTCCACAGACTCCACACAGCGAGGGCTTCGCTGCCAGGATCCGGGACTCGGGTGCCCCTGCTTAGAGACCACAGGAAAGGATGAAAAATCCCAGGACCCACGCGGGTGACGGGAAAAGAACGAGTGGAAGAGGGAAGTGAACAGAAATCCACAGTGAAGCAAACACCCCCGAAACGCATAGAAAATGATTCTCCTAGGCAGATGCAATTTGACGTGTTTCTTTTAAATGAACGGGCACCGTATTTCTACCGCAACAACAAACTGTGACTTATCAGATGTGCTTTTCGGCGTTACTGGTAGAATCCAGGAGTCCCTTCAATTGTATGTGTGTTGGGTAAATTGGGCACAAAATCCCATGTGCTGTATATCAATTCTCATATTCGGTTGACAAGCATTACAAAAAGCAGGGTGTTCCGTAAGAATCAAGGCGGAGAGGAAAGCTGGAGAAGTGAGACTCTTCCTTATGACCAGGCAAGCAGGGATCGGTGACAATGTCAGTGACTGGCGTCACCACTGCCCAGGATGCAGGCGAGGGGCGCGGACCGGCATCCTGGGAATTCTCATCCCAGAAAAAGCACGGAAAGGAAAATCCCGCAGCGGGGTTAAGGCCACAGACTCAAAATCTGTTTCCCCATCACTAACTAATATGTACGGACATTCCCTACTACAGTGAACCGTGAATAGATCCTAGGACTAAAGTTTTATCACAAAAACTCCGGGAACTGGAGAATTCAAAATTCGAGCTTTCTTGAACAAAGACAAGACATGATGAAATTTAAGAATCCTATAAGGGCTGTACATTGTAAGACTGGCATTTCAAGATTTTTCTTAAATCACTTAGGGAAAAAAGCAGTCCTATTAACCCACATTCCATAAAATTGCAACAACCATAGAGTTACTGGCAAGCGGTGTGCAGGACACGTATATAAAATCCCATCGCTTGCTCCTGTTCTGTGTAGAGAGGTCACTACTACTTCACCATCTGAAAACCTCCACCGGGAGGGTCTGTCCGTTTCATCTGAAGCTCATGTTCATCTCTCGGAGGAAATCTCACTCCAGGAAAGAGCTACTACTGGGGTACCTGGGTGGCTCAGTCGGTTAAACGTTCAACTTTTTTTTTTTTTTTAATTTTTTTTAAATTTTTATTTATTTCTAGGAGAGAGAGAGAAAGCGTGAACAGGGGAGGGTCAGAGAGAGAGAGAAACAAACTCTGAAACAGGCTCCAGGCTCCGAGCTGGCAGTCAGCACAGAGCCCGATGCGGGGCTCGAACCCACGAACCGCGAGATCATGACCGAAGCGAAAGTCGGACGCTTAACCGACTAAGCCACCCAAGCGCCCCATAAACGTTCAACTTTTAAAAAATTTTTTGGATGTTTACTTATTTTTGAAAGACAGAGAGGGAGACACAGAATCTGAAACAGGCTCCAGGCGCTGAGCTGTCAGCACAGAGCCCAACGCGGGACTCGAACCCACGAGCCCTGAGATCATGACCTGAGCTAAAGTCAGACGCTCAACCAACTGAGCCCCCCAAGCGCCCCCTACATGCTGTGTTTTCAAAGTATTTGCATTGGTCTCTTTCCTAGGCGTGTCCGTGTCGTTCCTCTGGGCTCTCTCAACAGCTTAGACCGGGTGAGTCCAATCCCCTGGGGCCCAGGGAAATGAATGTTCTGGACAGGATTTTATGCACTCACAGGCATTAAGGGTCTGCTCCTCTGGACCCTGAGTTCTGCCTGACTGCGAAGGTCAACCAGGCACATGGCTCTGAAAAGCTACTCGGCCCTTCACGAAGCAGGACAGCGTTAGCCAGGTGCAGAGCGGTGGACCCCCGCCTGACGGGCGCCTGGTCATCTGCCGCGAGTCAACACCCCAGGCCTCAGAAACATCTTTCTGTTGCTTCCCGAAAGGGCGGCCGTGACAGGTGTTTGCCTGGCTATTTCTTGATGGAGAAACGCAAGCGGAGTAAATACGATGCCACGTGAGCCGCGGCCGACTCTCCGCAGTTGAATTCCTGCTGCTACGAGAGCCCCCCTTCCGCTCGTCTGACCACGTGCGGTCCTGCAGAAACCCGGACGGGGAGCGCTACCTGCACAACGGAACCACATCTTCCCGATGGGCCCGTGCCGCGCGCGCCGACCACGGCTCCAGCCACGCGTACCCGCCACACGCTTCCCACGTTGGGACGGACTCCCGGCGAATGCTGCGCAGACCCGGGAGGAGCCTGGGAGGAGCCCGCACGGCAGCTGGAGCACCTCTTGATTTAGAAGGTCGCACACAAACGCTCTGATTCAGTGAGACAGAGATGGAATTCGGTTTTATTTTGTCCTCTCTGAAACCTCCGTCCACACCATGGCTTCTTCTAGCAGAGAGGAGGAGGGAAAGCTGTGCTCGCGCCACACACTCCAGCCTCACGTACTTGCTCGTGAGCGGCGGCCGGGGTCTGCGCCTCCAGGGGTCGGGCTCCGAGGAGTCACACTCTGGGGGCCGGCGTGGCGAGGAGCCGCTGGCCGCCTGTCCCCAGCGCCCTCTGTCCGCTAGTGTACCATTTCGTAAAGTGCTTCTGGAGTTCAAATCTGCCAAGCCGTCGAAAGTGTCCACACTTTTGCAACACAAAGGATAAAGAACCCCGCCGGGCATGTCACCGAGTCCTTCCCGCCGGCTCTCGTCGATGGCACCGCGGCTCTAACCACCCAGGCGCTGGCCCTCGCCCCACGCGAAGCCTCCCGGCCGGTCCTCGGGCAGCGGGTTGTAATTGGGGTCCTCATCTGGAGTATCAAAAACAGCCTTCCTGAAAGACAGGCAACAGATGCCACTTAGTCCCAGAGGCCCGGCCGGTCCCGACCGGCAGGGTGACAGGGCTCCCACGGGGCCTCCGGCCACGGACAAACGCCTCCGCCCGCCACGCCAGCACTTCTCACCTGGTGGAAGTTTTCACAGTGATTTCACATTTACGTTAACTTCTACTCCCTGGACCTCTTTTTTTGTTTTAACTACAAAAGCAATAAGTGCTAATTATAAAGGAAACAGGAAATATATATAAATATCCTCAATTTTCAGAATCACGGTTAATATTTTCATTGTTCTTTCAGAACTTTTACATACGCGCTTTTACAAAAATTAGATCACACACTGTTTTATAACCTGATTTTCACTACATTTACATGAATGTCTCCCCACAACTAGGGTATCACCCAGGGACAGACAGACGGATGAATAAACAAAACCACAACAGAACATTATTCAGCCTTAAAAAGAAATTCTGATCCCTGCTACAATGTGGACCGACGCGGAGAACGCAGTGTTCCATGAAACAAGCCCGTCACGGGGGACAAACTCTGCATGACTCCACGCTTACAAGGAACCTGCGGCTCAGAGCATGAGCTCCCAGGTCCTGGGTTCGAGACCCCCATCGGACTCCGTGCTGACAGCTCGGAGCCTGGAGCTGCTTCAGATTCTGTCTCCCTCTCTCTCTGACCCTCCCCCACTCGTGCTCTCTCTCTCTCTCTCGCTCACTCTCTCTCTCAGAAATAAATAAAAATTTAAAAAAAAGAATTAACATTAAGGCAGCATCCACTATTTCATACTTCTGAGTACACTTACACACAGGTGATAAAATTAGAAATGTATCTGGGAACTTCTACTTTATATCAGAGTCAGAAAAAGGCATCTATAGGGGCGCCCGGGTGGCTTAGTCGGTTAAGCATCTGACTTTCGCTTAGGACATGATCTCGCGGTTTGTGGGTTCAAGCCCCGCGTCAGGCTCTGTGCTGACTGCCAGCTCGGAGCCTGGAGCCTGTTGCAGAGTCTGTGACTCCCTCTCTCTCTGACCCTCCCCTGCTCACACTGTCTCTCTCTCTCTCCTAGAAATAAATAAAAAAAGAAAAAAGCATCTATATTTTAACGTGAACTCCTTTAATCCTTACAGATTAACAAAAAATAGTAATTCTTACAAATTAACAATAAAAGGAAACATCCAGCAATAGAAAAATATAGAGCTGAAAAGGCCATTCCAGAAGAAAATCCAAATGGCCAACAAACACAGAAAGGTTTGCCTTCCTAATAAAAAGGGAGCACGTTCAAAACCAAGACCCTTCTCCTTCCCGACCACGAGTGGGAGAGAACCAAGCAGGCGTCCACGCGAGGAAGCAGAGCCGTGGGCACAGGGAGCCCAGAGCCCACCCGGGGCGGGCGCCCGTGGAGGGGCTGGTCCGGGGGGGGGGGGGCGCCCAAGCCTGAGGAGGGTGGAGAGGACGCTCCCCGTGACACCGCGGCCCCCACGGGACGGGCGGGTGAACAGGGCCTCACCTGGGGCCGAGAGCACAGCCATGCAAGGCGGGTCACCTGCGGGGCTCACTCATATGACCGAAAGGGAATCCGGTTCCTCAGCGTCCATGCGGACAGGGAACCGCGGGGAAGAGCGGCGGAGTCACAGGGCGGAAGCCACTCGGCACAAAAGGGATTGTTTGCTTCCTGACACGTGCAGCGACGGAGGTGATGAAGAACACAGCCTGGTGACTGGAAGCGGCCACACACGCACACAGACGCGCGCGCACACACACGCGAGGCCACTCGGGAGGGCACCAGTGCTCACCTCTGCCCGCCCTCACGCACGCACGTTCTCATCAATAAGCTTTTCACAAAGCATGAAAACAAGCCGCCACCTCATAGCTGGGGGGGGGGGGGACACAGCCGCGCCCACATCAGGCAAGGCCACGGGGACAAGGGCGTCTTACGTTGTTGCTGAGAGACGCGTAAACTTGAACATGCATTCTGGATGGCGATTGGACAACACACAAAACGGGAATTTACCCCTTGAACGTGACCACGGGAGGTCACGGGAGGGGGGGGCGAGCACTAGCGTCACTGTCCGTGAGGGACTCGAGGAAAACCGCACGGCCTGCAGCCCACGCGCTGTCGTGTGGCGGTTACTTTGTAGGACGTTCGTGACGGGAAACCGAGGATGACTTACTCCCCCAAAGAGAAGGTTGCAAAATAGCATTTTTAAAAGCACACAGACAGTAAAAGGCTGAAGAACCCATGTCATGGCACCAACAATGATGACCGGTGGCATAGCTGAGTGGTGGGATTATGCAGGACTTTATTCTTTGTTTTGTTTGCTTTTAAAAAAAATTTTTTTTTAACGTTCTATTTATTTGTGAGAGAGAGAGACAGCGTGAGCAGGGGAGGGTCAGAGAGAGAAGGAGACACAGAATCTGAAGCAGCTCCAGGCTCTGAGCTGTCAGCACAGAATCAATGTGGGACTCGAACCCACAGACAGTGAGATCATGACCTGAGTCGAAGTCAGACGCTTAGCCGAGTGAGCCACCCAGGCGTCCCTGTTTAACTACTTTACAACCAACGTTTTATAGTATTTCTTTCTTATTTTGAGAGAGAGAGGGTGCAAGTGAGCAAGGGGCAGAGAGGGAAGGAGGCAGAAGTGGGCTCACCCAAAGTGGGGCTCGAACTCACAAACTATGAGATCATGACCTGAGCCAAAGTCAGATGCTTAATCAACTGACCCACCCAGGTGCCCCCAACGTTTTATAATAAAAACTCACATTTTACTCCTCAAGTGGACCCCTTCAAATGCCATATGCAAAGATCCACTCCCAGGAGAGGAAAAGTGCAAAACACAGAAGCACTTTAAGATTCCTTTGAAGTCCTCTCTATGCCCTACATTGGGCTCGAACTCACGACCAGGAGAATGGGAGTCGCGCGCTCCCAGCAGAGCGCCCCAGGCAGACGGCCTCCTTAGTGTCACACAGCCGGGCAGTGCGGCAGCCTGTACCTGCGTCCCCATCCGGCTTTCTGCTTCTCTCTACTCATCGTACTTTCCGGAAGGCCAGAAACACCACCCTAGAAACTTCCTTGTGGCCAGTGTTACCCCCTTTGTCACCAGCTGTCCCAGACACTAGCGGGCTTCTCCTTGGGGAGGCTGTGGTGGTCAGTGCACAACAGACCCCGCTCCCGCACACCCCGCCACCCCTCCGGCCAGATCTGTGCCCGGAGCCCACAGACCCCACTCCCGCACACCCCGGGCACCCCCTCCGGCCCATCCCCGCCCCAAGCCCACGGACCCCGCTCCCATACACCGCAGGCACCCCCTCCGGCCCATCCCCGCCCCGAGACCACAGACCCCGCTCCCGCACACCCCGGGGAACCCCTCCGGCCCATCTCCGGGCCCTTCAGCCGCAGCCGGGGGCTCCATCTGCAAACACGGACTGTCCTCAGTACCACCGGGAGCCCCGCAAGAACACAGATCGCAGATCCCATCCCCATTCACCAGCCAGAACACGCAACCCGGTGGTAAATACTCACAAGATAGACGGTGTTTTCAGAATTCTGATCCCACCAGGCTGATTGGGAAACACGTCTTCCAAGAAAAAGTAGATGTGTCCGACTGCAATGCCTAGAATCCCCGAGAAACGAGCAATGAGGGGGAGGGCCCACCAACACAGGCCGCGTGCGTTTCGGAAGAAAGGTCAGGACAGTTACTAAACATCAAAAAACTCGGTATCTGTGGCGGTCTCTGTGCACGTCGCCACAGGGCGGCCCCGCACGCGGGAGGTGCGGCCGCACAGCCCACAGGGGCAGCGGCTGCTGGGGCTCACGCGAGACGGCAGCGAAGGCGGCGGTCGCCTACCCAAGAGGTCTACGATGATGGAATTGCCCAGCAGCAGCGAGAAGCCCATGAGCACCCAGGGCAGGAAGGGCGCCTGGAAGTTGAGGAGGCCGAAGAAGTTCATGCGCACGTACGGGTTCCTCCGGCTCCACACGTACACGAGCATTATGGTGAAGGCTTGGCCCAGGAACACCAAGCTCACGAACAGGCCGAAGAGCTGGCGGGCGGCGTCAAGGAACAGGCCAACGTCAGAGGCGCGACAGGGAAGGCCGAGCGCCGGGACAGAGGGTAGGGCTCTGGAGGTTTGCGTCAGGAACGCCAACAGCAGTTACAGCTTTCGAGGGGGGAACAGAGCCTGAAAGTAATTACCCAGAGCGACCAGGGAAAATCTGTCCAGGCCATAACCTCTCGAGGGTAGCTGCCTCAAGTTAATATTCTGTGTCTGTGGAGTTCTCGGCTATTTGGAAATTACATTAATTCCTTGGTTAATAATTGCATTAAACATCACTCACCATTGGCGCCTTGAAGAGGCGAGGAGAGCCAAATGGAGTAAAATCACCTCGTCAGACAGGACAACGTTCAAGGCTGTTATATCCATGACAATAGTTTTCTTTTGTTTTGTTTAAATAATAACTTATCAGGGCACCTGGGGGCTCATTCTGTTGAGCGTCTGACTTCAGCACAGGTCACAATCTCACGGTTCGTGAGTTTGAGCCCCACGTCGGGCTCTGTGCTGACAGCTCGGAGCCTGGAGCTGCTTCAGATTCTGTCTCCCTCTCTCTCTGCCCCTCCCCGACTCGCACTCTGTCTTTTTAAATTTTTTTTATTTTTGAGAGACAGAACATGAGCAAAGGAAGGGCAGAGAGAGAGGGAGACACAGAATCTGAAACAGGCTCCAGGCTCTGAGCTGTTGGCACAGGACCCAACGCGGGGCTCAAACTCACGAACCGCTAGATCATGACCTGAGCCTGAAGTCAGCTTAACCGACTGAGCCACAGGCGCCCCATGTGTCTCTTCTTCAAAAATAAACATTAAAAATGTTTTTTAATTAAAAATAACTTATCAGCTTGGGTACTCTCCAATAAATGTCTCAGCAACTTAGCTTAAAAACATACACATCGACAAGAATATAGCTAATGTGTTTAACAGTAACCCACCTAGGTTAAAAGTCCCCCGCCGGGCACACTGGAGAAAAGCATCCCTGTCCGACCTCTAGGCTCAGAGAGTGGTTACAGAAAGGACGCTGTAAAACAGAGAGCGGGACCCTGGAGCTAAAGTCTGGAGGCCCAGCTCCATCTGTCGGCTCAGCTCACTAGATGAGCAGCGGAGAGCTTTAGGAAGACACAGCGTGCCCTTCGATTGTCTCCTGTGTTCGCTCTACTCATTGAAGGATACAGTCATTAAGAATCCACCAAAAAGGAACATAAATACAAAATCTGCCGTCCGGCCTCGGAAAGAGCCTTCTTCTAGCATTCGACAGTAACGGTACCTTAGGGTTCCAGGTTAAGAAAATGTTAAGCGCACAGATGTGAGGAAGTAAAATCGGCATATCCCTTCAGTCCACGTGGGCTCCTGGCTACGGGTAACCAGCCACGGCTGCGTTTCCGTGAGAACGTTCACGAGGGGCGGCGTGCTTACTTCCCTTCCTAGCAGGCCTCGCGGGTGGGTGAAGGCCAGCTCCACGTTTTACACAAGCTGCTCCCTATTGGGGAGCGAGGCCGACGCCCCAGGAACATGCCTGCGGCTATCCGACCCCTGTTCCAATCAGCCCCATCCTTCCCGCGCCACAAGGGGCTCGAGCCTTGCCTTTTCACAGCCTGACCTGGAGAAATGCCCGGCCAGAAGACCTGTGTGAGCATCTACTTCTTCAGGCCGGGCAGACGCAGTCCCTAAAGGGGCACTAGGGTGGAAAATTTAACGATCAGATGCCAGCCAGAGTAACAGATCCCACCCTGGGCAGGGATCCCCTCACCGCCACGAGGCCCTCTGTCTCCACAGGTGAGCTGAACTAAGTACCCTCCAAGCCAGAGGGCCCCGTGGAGGAGGGATGCCCTGCTCAGGGGCCATGGTGACCACGTGAGCACGGCATGCCTCGGCCTCTTTCAACAACCGGAACGTGGCGGGCTGGGCAGACACAGGGCACCATCTTTTTGGCCAGCAGGACCCAGGGAGCCCTCACATCTGCCCCCTGTCCCGCACCCACTCCCACACCTGCAGCAAACTCCGGCAGCTGCCCCCGCATCTGGGTGCCTGCTGATGGCACGTGTCAGTGCATCGCCACTACTCTCCCCTCGCCCCCCATCCGATCTGTAAGTGACCGATGGCCAGGAGTGGAATCGCTTGTGGTTACACACCTCCCGCCAGAATGGGGACTGACAGACCCCCTCAAAACACGGTTTTCTGTCCAATTACCCCGTGTACCCCTGAGCCAGGACCCAGAAGTCACAGCTAAGGTGGTAACAAAAATAACAGCATTAATAGCGTTAACTTGTCTTCCCTAAGTCAACCGGAAATTTTCATGCTAACCCCCACTTAATAAAGGATACAGAAAAATCATGTTAAATAAAAAGTTGAATCCAACCGGACCAAAAAATAAGAAATTGGTGATTAGCCTCCATATCTGTTAAAAGAAAAAAAAAAAATCAGGAGAAAGACTTGGTAAGTAAAATATACCAGGAAACATTTCCATATTAAGACCAAAGAGAGATCCTAGGTCTGCAATGGTTGAAAGGCCACAAATAAGCGATACCACGATCTGAGCCAAAAAGCGGGGCACACACGATCCGACACGGGGTTTTGTGCTTCGAGGTGGGGGTGCCTGGAAGACATCACTTGGCCCCTGAAATCTGCAGGGACAACAGGACAGAAAACTCGAGACCGTCATTGTCTTAAGAAAAAAAAAAAAAAATGGGGCGCCTGGGTGGCTTAGTCGGTTAAGCGTCCGACTTTCCCTCGGGTCATGATCTCGCGGTTCGTGGGTTCGGGCCCCGCGTCAGGCTCTGTGCTGACTGCCAGCTCAGAGCCTGGAGCCTGTTTCAGAGTCTGTGACTCCCTCTCTCTGACCCTCCCCTGCTCACGCTGTCTCTCATTCTCTCTCCTAGAAATAAATAATTAAAAAAAAAAAAAAAAAAGCCCGTCCGACATGGTCAGGCAAATTATGGAAAAAGCTGGGTGGAAAGTCAACGTTAATCTGCCAGACAGAGAAGAGTGCTGTCGTGCGTGACGTGTCTGATGAGCAGCCTCGAGAGGCGGGGGAGAAACTCCTCGGATCTAAAATAAACCCGCCGAGAGATGTTTCCTTCTCCAGGTCGGTGAGGACTGTCCAGAGGACACACACTCCAGTTCTGGGCTGAGTAAACGGGCAACTCCCCACAAGTAAAGACCGGAAGTTCTCATAATGACAGTCTAACGGGCAGGAACAAGGACACTAGTTTTCACTGGAAACTTCACTTCCCGCCCAGCCACACCCACAACCGGGACAACTGCTCACAGTAGAGAGAGCGTCACATTCTACAATGTTTCCGTGGGGTCTATAATCTCCTGGGAGTGACAGCTGGTATGCCTGTCCCCAGGTCACACGCGAGGACACAGCGAGACTCCGCACTTTCCAATGGCTTACCCAGGGGGGCTGGGCCAGGGAGACTCTGAGTCGGGCCTGGAAGCCCCAACCCCAGTGCAGAGAATGGTGTCACGGAGAGTGTCACCCGAGGCTAGACCAGCGGAGCACATGAACGAAGTGCTGCCCGGATGGAGCCCTGGCTCCCAGCAAAGGCCAGGTGAGCAGGGAAGGGGGACGGCAGGGACAGGGGTCCACAGGCCTGCTTTGTGCACCATTAAATTCTTCAGGATTGGAAACAAAGTTGAAATAATTCTGCATACGAGCTGCATCCAGGATCTTAGAGTCCCCAATTCAGCCAGGAGACAAGCCTATAAGTAGGTGCAAGCCCGAGGCAAGGGATGAAAATATTCACAGACGCCTGGAGCATGTAGTGCACAAAACCCCTGAGGGATCACAGATGCTAGAGTATTTAGTACACTGGACACCTGAGTGTTTACAGACGCCCTGAGGACACAGAGGAGGGTGAATCTCAGTGGACACACAAAGCTGGGAATGGAAAGGCAAGCTGGGGTTCGATGGGTGTAAAGTGACTAACACCCACGTGCAGAAGGGGAACAGCACGTGTACAGGCAGAATTACTGAGTCCTGGGTCCTTCTCCCACTCCGACCACAGGCCACGTGACCATCCTGGAGCAGGAAAGCACACCTCTCAGCATTTTAGCTACTGGAGAGAACCATCTCCTACCAGTCTAAAGAACTGGCATGCTGTTTAAGGAGCCGGTCTTTCGGGCTTTGTGACTATCACCTGATCCCCGGAAGAAGGATCAATTCACTCAGAGAGGTGGGCTCCAGAACTGGACCACGGGGATGGCCTGGAGGTGGGGAGTGGACAAAACAGGGCATCTTGTGAGGCTCTCCCTGAGCAGAGACTGCCAGTCTCCCTCAAACTACAATATGCACTCGAACCAGAAATGTCTAAATACAGAAACTGGACACATCAACTCAAAACCACTCGGGGAACTACGAGTAAAATACAGATTTTCCGTTCCCACCCTTGGGGATTCCGATTTTGATACATGATGAGGTGCCTGAAAATCTCTCCCAAGTTCCTGAGGTGATTCTGAAGCCCAATCAGGGTTTTCCCGGGCTTTATTACCCCCCCAATAAGACTTAAAATAACAGGGGCGCCTGGGTGGCTTAGTCGGTTAAGCGTCCGACTTTCGCTTAGGTCACGATCTCTTGGTTTGTGGGTTCGAGCCCCGCGTCGGGCTCTGTGCTGACTGCCAGCTCAGAGCCTGGAGCCTGTTTCAGTCTGTGACTCCCTCTCTCTCTCTGACCCTCCCCTGCTCACGCTGTCTCTCTCTCTCCTAGAAATAAATAAAACATTTAAAAAAAAAAAAAAGACTTTAAAATAAAATAATATTCCCGCCGAATTCTTTTCGGATAGTACATGGCAATATCTGCTACTTAAAAGCACAATAAACAAGTTTAAAACACTGAAACGTTACTTGTGGTTGTGATGCGTGACTTACTTGAAAGTGTTTAAAGATTAATTCAGGATTGAAGTACAACTGAAAAGGTGTGATCAATTCCAACTGCTGAAAGAGAAAGAGAGCGTCTTAAAGCAAATCCATCAAGAAACAAAACATCTACAACAAAAGACGAGGAGGTCTAGCAACTTCCAACTCCCAGGCGCTCTGGCTCCATCCCTTAAGGCTTTCTTACGGCGGGAGGAAGAGACTGCTAAAAACTTCTGCAGCAGTGGCACAGTTCTTTGTATCCCTCGCACCTAACGCAAGGATACGACTTGGTCTTACGTTGCAGTAGTTGAGGCTGACATGCAGGCAAAGGCGGCAGGCGGTGGCATCTCAGACAGGGCACGTGAGAGCACCTGGCCACCACCTGAAACTGCTGTGCACGGCAACACTCAACTCACTCGCAACAACCGAGACTGAAGACTCTGCGACCGTCGGGGCCGGGTGCCTCCCGACAATCCCCACGTCCGGACTCCCGTTATTTCAAGACTTCCCCCTCTCGACAACTTCCACTTTTCTCTCCTCCACGTCCAAGTTTCTTCCCGAGGGGACCTTCTTGACCACCAGCCACCACGTTACCGCCTGCTCGTCGCCTGAGTTCTGAGACTCGTGTTCCACGGTGGGCGGCTCCCGCAGCCGCGACCCGCTACAGCTCCAGCCTTCCTGTCTCAGGAACTGACCAGCAGCCCTGATCCTCAACCCCTCGTGGAGCAGCACCCCCTCCTCGGGTCACTGGACAGGCGCCCCCGGGGCCCCAAAGTGAGCACCGTACGCCCTCCACCCACCCCTGAGCCCAGCCCCTCTGGGCTTCCCCGAGGCCCAGACGCCAGTGTCCCGAGGCCCCTCTCGCATCCAGCATGGAGAGCGAGAAGCGGGCGCTGCAGCTGCTCACCACAGCGGCGGTGGTGAGGACGCAGGCGGTGGTGTAGGCGCGGCTGACCGGTGGGATCTGCAGGTACTCCAGCCGGAGGCTCTGGTACGCCATCTTCCCCACCGCCGCCTGCCCCCCCACTTCCCCTTCCGCCAGTCAACCCCGGCGGCGGGGCGGGGCCGGAGTGGGCTGCCGCCCAATCAGCGCCGCGCGCCTGGCCCGCCACCAATCGCCAGAGCGCTGAGGAAAGCGCGCTGGCCAATCGAGAGTTGCGTCTCCGCGGGGCCCCGCCCAGCTGCCCCACCCACCAGCCCACCAACGTCGAGGAGAGGCGTGTCAGTCCGGGTTCCTGCCGCCAATCCGCGCCGGCCACAGCTGGCTTTCCCGCCCGGCCCCTTCCCGGGTCTGAGCGAGGCGCGGCCGCACACGGCCGGCCAATCAGGGGCCCGACAGCGCCCCGCCTGGGCCCTCGTTCGCGGAGGCCGGAGTCCGCCCGTAGCCGGGAGCCCGCGGCGCCGCCTCTCCGCGGCAGCAGGCGGTGGTTCGAAGGCGGTGGAGGGAAGCCGGCGCGGGGTCGGCTTCGTCACGCTCCCGCTCGCTCGGGTAAGGGTCGGGGGGCTGCCTCTCCTCCCGGGGACCAGCGGGCAGGGGCGGGGTTGCGAACGGCACCCCAGCCAGGCGCCCGCCCGCCGGGCAGCGCGCCGTCGACCCCGAGCTCCCGGCATGCCGCGGGGCCGCGGGGGCCGACGGGAGCGGGAGGCTCGCCGGAAGTGGTCCCCGCCCGGCGGGCTCGGCGCGGCGCGGCGGGACCGGAGCGGAGGAGGCGAGGCGGGCGCCCGGGAGAAAGGCCCAGCCCCGGAGGCGGCTCGGAGCGGGAGCCGGGCCGCGGGGTCCTTCCCTGAGGGGACGAAAGCATCTCGGGGAAGGAAGGTAGCTGGGTTTGGCTGGGAGGGAGTAGTCGGGGCGGGCGTCACGGCTCGTCGGGTTGGTTGCAGGGAAGCAGCGAAGGTTTCTGGAACGGGGAGTGCGCGGCAGGGGTGGTGGCGGGTGACGAAGGACGCGAGTGCCAGGCTGGGCTGTCACGGGACACGCGTGGGTACCGCACGGGGAGAGCGCCCTGGCGCTGATCTGCACGCAGAGGTGCCCCGCTTTCCAGCAGTCAGAGATCCGCGTTAAGATCGTTTCGCCTGGGGGCGCCCGGCCGGCCGGGTCGGAGAGCGTGGGGGGGACCCCTCCTCGGAGCGCTGGCAGTCGGCCTCTCAAAGGGAGGAAAGGCAAGACGGGAAAGCGCTGAGAGCTGCGGGTTGGATGGTGGCTCCTTCCGCCCGGGGCCGAGTGAGGACTGGGTAGGGATCCCGCCCTAACCGCCCAGGGTCGGTGGAAACGGCTGAGGCGAGGCTTTCAGAGAATCTCGGTGCAGATTATCGATGCTTCGCGTTGAAGAGCTGATCCATCCTGCGGGGCGCGGGGGGTGTCCTACGGCACAGTCAAGCCGTTTGAACCGTGAAAATACTCCGGCCTCCCAGGAGAGTCAGGTCAGGCTAATGGAAACCGTAGGTTGGGGGGCGGGGGTGGGGAGAGTGTAGGTAGCTTCAGCCCTCGGTGCCCAGGCTGCGTGTGGGGTAGCGGGGGCTTTCGGTTTTCAGAAAGCCTCACTCAATTGGGTGGCTCAGCCGGTTTAGCGTCAGACTCGCGATTTCAGTTAAGGTCACGATCCCGGGGTGGGTGAGATGGAGCCACCTAGGACTCTGCCCTGAGAGTGGAGCCTGCTTGGGGTTCTCGCTCCCTCTGTGCCCCTCCCCCTCCCTCTCTCAGAAAGTAACAAAAAGTAAACAATGTTACACGTACCAGACTGGCAGAAATCAGGATGTTGGATAGCGTCCTGTGTAGGTGAAGACATGAGGAATGTTCCAGCACCGCAGGGGGCTTGTCAGTCATTGAACGTTTGCCTCCCCCGCCCTGCCCCTGGGGTCTGGGAGAACACTTAGGGGGTGTTGACTGACACCCTGTGAGTACGCTGCATCCCAGCAGGTCCCCGAGGAAACTTATGGGAGGGTGCTTGTCACATGGTTATTTCTGGTGCTGACCAGGTGCCCATCTCCAGAACGGACATGTCAGGTGTGGCCTATGCCTGTGATAGAGTCGGCGGAAAACTTCCCCAGATCTGTGACGTGTGACAACGTGACGTGACTGCAGAGGTAAAAACGGAAGCGAGCGTACACAAACTACCTTTCAAGAAGGTCTGACTTAGCGGATGAGTTAAAGATGGACTGAGGCACAAGTTAAGAGACGAATAGGTTCCTATGGGAGCTGAAAGATCAGAGAATCCAGTAAGGCCCAAAAAGAGGGTGCCGTGAAATAGGTAATTCTCCGTTATGCACGTCCAAGGTGCTTAGCCGGGAAGACAGCTGTTAGTGACGGTCAGATGACGGGGGCCCTTGTCAGCTATGTCCAGAGAGCTTGAACTTGATCCTGAAGGGAGGCATGGGGAGCATGAGGAAATGAAAACCCTGCCAAGCCACAGAGTCCTGTACCCTTCTCTACACAGGTACACATGTCCACATGACAGTGCGTCTGTGGTTAAGGTTACAAAGGCAGAAGGAAATTGTTTTTAATGTTTATCTTTGAGAGAGTGGGGGAGGGGCAGAGAGGGAGACACAGAAGCTGAAGCAGGATCCAGGCTTTGAGCCGTCAGCACATAGCCTGACGTGCGGCTTGAACTCATGAACCGTGAGATCATTACCTGAGCCGAACCGGACGCCCAACTGACTGAGCCCCCCCAGGTGCCCAAAGGCAGAAAGAAATTCCACCCGCTTTACACAGCCCACGAGTTGAACACGGTTTAGCCATCACGTACTAATCTCAAGATTAGT